CCCCCCCCCCCCAACCCCCAAAATCGAACCTTATCCTTTCCCCGATTAATCTCTCTTCCCTCTCAATTTCCACCCACTCCCTTTTCCCGTCTTCGGTTCATACTCGTCATCCTCTCCCACCTTCCACTTCCCATTTCCCTCCCATCCTCCCTCTCTCTTCTCCCCCCCCCGTCTCTTTTCCATTCTGCATCTTCCTCTCCTTTCATCATATTCTACCCACCCCCCTCCTCCCCGCTAATACACCACGCCTTTTCCTCCACTACTATTGTGATCATCAAAATCATTTAATCAGTCCTTTCACTCTTCACGTGTTCTGATTTACACCATTTGCTTGTGTTATCATTCCGTTTGAGGTCTCGGTCATTGTGTCGTTGCCGTCAATTCCTCCTTCTGTCGCATATCGCCTCCTGAACGCGGCCGAACGCGGCACTTCTATTCCAGTTGCGCGCAACCTAGCATATCGCACTCATCACACATCTCACCTACCTTTGACTATCATCTGTCACTAGATCACCTATACGTGATAGGTTTTTGGCATTACCGTTCCAGCTACTAATTCTTCCATTGCTGGCTTCTTCAACCGGTACCGCCTGTCACCCATTTGACTTTCGCTCCCTTGCCTTTCTAGAGAGCCCGTGCTCCTCCAGTCTGCTCGTGGAGTTTCATCGATCGATCGACTTGACACGTTGATTTATCCCTCTGCAAGGCATGAGTGGAAGTTCGAATCAATCCACCCGCACGAGTCCCGGCTCTTTCAGCACCACTCAGCGCACGCCGTCTGTATCCTCGGGCGCGTCGCCGACTCACCAGTCGCTTTCAGCTTCTCAGCCGCCGTCGACGGCCCAGAATGTGATGTCGACCGACGTGTACAGTCCGCCCGCGTCGCAGGCCTCTTCATCGCTAGCTCCCACGTTCACTCACCCCTTCTCCCCAATCGCGCCCTCGTCCTCCTTTGACACTGTCGCTTCGACCACCATGCGCTTCGCTGATTCGGCACAGTCGCTAAACGGCTTTGCCCGTCCTGTCAATGGGGGTGGTGGGATAATCCTGATGCGGAAGCTTCCGCGCAACACCAGTCGCGAGGCTTTGCGCAGTATGCTGCTATTCGCGAAAGACCTCGTGGATGCCGAATTCATACCTTCTGACCATCCGGAAGATAACGGATACCTATGTGCAGTCGCGCGCTTCGGCACGCTGGCCGCTGCTGAAGAGGCGCGAGCTTTGCTCCATGGAAAACCGAATTCCAAGAACGATGCTACCATGATTGTGGAAGTACTGACCGGTCCAGTGGCATCATCGTTGGCACCTAGACGGAACACCATTGATCACACTGCAACCCGTAGTCTGCTGGGAGGTGTCAACGGAGCCTTGTCGCGCCAGTCGTCACGCTTTAATGGAACTTTTCAGAGTTTGGAGAAGTTCAGCGCGACAACCGGAGCTGCCAACGGCGATGGTCTGCCAGAGTCAGGTTCCCGCCTGCACAGCATCTTTGCCCCACAATCGCCACTTGGAAATGGGGTTCCTGAACTGCCTCGTGTTAGCGGCAAATCGATGATCGATCAAGACATTGACGAAGACACGGGAGAACTTCTTAAGGATCCGGTTGGTTATGCGGAAAACGGGCATTCTGGTGCTGTATCAGCTGGGCGCCGTGCAACGAATCCTCAGATCCTGAGTAATCAATTTGCCAATATGTCCCTGGCGACTAACATCTCGTCGCCACCACTTCAGGGTTACACTCCTCAGAACTCTGCGCATATGGGAGTCCCTACCCCTGCATCCACATATCCGCAAGCGATGAATAATATTGGGGCCGGCCACGGGTTTCCCTACGGCAACCCGCACATGCACCGCCACAGTCTACCTGCTGCGAATCCGAACGACATGAACCCGCCTTGCAATACTCTGTACGTTGGTAATCTTCCGCCGGATACCTCAGAGGAAGAGCTCAAGGCTCTTTTTTCTAAGCAGCGTGGTTACAAACGTCTATGTTTCCGGAACAAACAAAATGGTCCTATGTGCTTTGTGGAGTTCGACGATGTGGGTACTGCCGGCAAGGCGCTCAACGAGCTCTATGGCTTCAAATTGTCGAATAGTATCAAGACTGGGATTCGGCTGAGTTTTTCGAAGAACCCTTTGGGAGTGCGTTCCGGGCAACCGGGCTCCATGAGTGCATCGAATACCATGGGTACCTCTCAAGGCGGCGTACCTGGCGGCAGCAGCCTCGGTGGGATTCATAACAGCCATGTGTTCTCTACGGTCAGTGGCCCGCCACCTGGACTATCAGCGCCTCCCGGTCTCGCTCCCCCCATGGCGTTGCGGAACAACGGCCCTATCCATCCGGTCAGCAATATGCATGCTCCCATTCCCACCAACGGCGCCTTTAACCCCAACCCCAACCCGGGCCTTGGAATCCGAACCAATTCTTCGATGGTTTCACCTCCGCCGCCGCTCACCGGTGGGGCGCCGAATCTGGGAGGGTTCAACTTTTCCTATCCGGACTACATGATGGGCCGCTAGAGGCCAAAAGAACAATTTTACGTCTCTGTGGAACACTAAATGTCCGCGATGCTTGATGACCACTGGGCTACCTGGCGTATTAGGGCGATTATTGTTTTTATAAGTTAGATTAGCATTTGGAGGGTCACCTTCCTCCTCGGAGTAAGGATTTTGGGCCCTGGACACTTTGACTTACTTGCGTGATGTTCTTTTCATATTGCACTCTGATAGCATGGAAACAGGGGCGCTGCTTGCATGTCTGCTTTTTTTTCTGGAGGGGAATCTTGCATCTGCGTGAGGATTTTACATTGATCAAGTCCCTGTTGTGTTGTTTTATGCACCATCTTCATACCCCGTGTCTGTGTTTTCTTTTTTTCTTTTTCTGCTTTCTAATGTGTTCTTGCTGAAGATTGATCGATTCCCTGCCCTTCTTCGTGTGCATTTTTCTGAGTCAGTTCCAATCATAATCACCAATGTTTGCAATTGGGGCAAGGCGTTGACATGGGTATACACTTAAGACTTCTGGAAGGCTACTGTTGGCTAGCTGCTGCATCGTCGCACGTTACCAGTACCATTATTCGGTTTGGCATTTCCCTTACAGCGTCATATCTTCTTGTATTGGTCATTGGTTGGCTCAAATGGGACACTTGTTTCTTTCCTTCTCCCTCTCTCCGACTTGTGGCTTTCTATAGCTTTGCTTTCTTGCGCCGATGGATGAATGGAGTTGAAATGGTGAGAGCGTGGCAGGAAGAGGCGGGAAGAGGCGTGCTCAGTATGATTAGTAGTATTATTCTTTTTATCCTTGTTCTTTTTCGCCTTTTCTTCCGAATTCTCCCAATCTGAGACAATTGCTTCGAAGCTGCCGGCGTAGTATCAACGTATCAACCTTCCTATCTGGGCAAGTGGGACTCAACCCACGAAAGTTGGGCGGCTCACGTGATGCAGCCGCATGTCCCGAAAAAGTTTCTTACCCTCGACTCGCGTGCAGTTCTCTTTCTTTTCGCTTCGTCAACATTCATTCACCTCTACCTGCTTCACCCTCTCCTCGCCCTCCCTCCGGTCAATTGGACTTCCCTTTTCTCGTTTCCGCATCCATTGACCTCTATTACCTGCTTCTCCTCCTCTTGCTCTCTCTTGCCCTCTTTCATCCCCTTGTCTCATTGTCTAGCACAAATACACACCAAGATGGCTCAACGAATACCGAACCACCTGGTCTCTAATACCCTCCTCCCCTATATCTCCTCCCCCTCCACTTCTCTCTTCAGACTTACCACCGCATGCACGTCCTCTTCCCTCACAGATGCCTCGCGGCCCGCTTCCCGTTCCTTTTCTACCACAAGACCTTCACAAACTAGACTTCGCAGAGAGATGATCAGATGGCTTCGCGGGAAAGGATCCGAACTGCAACATCACATTCCTGGTGAAACCAATTATCTCACACACACTAACAAGCCTTTTCCCGCCAACCCTCTCTACCGCAGCGACCCTATACTCAGCGAGGACCTGCGCAACGAGATTCATAACCAGGTGACCGTTCGAAACAAGAGTGTGCGGGCTGTGAGTGTCCTGTATGGCGTGGATATGAGGAGAGTAGCTGCGGTGGTTCGACTAGTCGAGTTGGAAAATCAGATGAAAGAACAAGTATGGCTTGCCCCCTGTCCTTCCCTTCTGCTCTTGCTTCCACCCCCTTCAAGAACGTCTTCCGGATGCAATGATGAGACAATTATAAAAATCGATTAGTCTTTATGACCCAATTTCTGGGCATGATTACAACGCCTTTAAATCTGATATGCATTATATCCCCACCTTCGCTTGGAGTTTATCTTGTCGACGCTGTCTCTGTTCCTTTCTCAGCAAAGCTAACGCGTCGTTCACCAGGGCAAATCCCTTGCGCTTCCCTACGCACGTGCCATTCATGAAATGGTTCCCGTCACTCCTCTTCCAGCTGAATGGGAAAGACGAACATCCCACGAAACCATTAATGACCTACCGGCTCACCGCCTGACCGACCCTCAAATCTTCTACCCTGTCTCTGAGTCTCGGCAATTTAACCGTATTGACGCTGGCCGCGTGTTCTCTGCTGCCCCTGCTATGGCCAACCGGCATGCCGAACAGCTTCAAGCTAATCCCGACGAGACCATCCGCAAGATCACTCAGGAGAGTCCTGCAAAGATTGAGAAGGTCGGCAAGGGCGACGAAGAGCACCAGGTCCTTTTGCCCTCGGACGCTCGTATCCCTCACCCGCACATGATCACTCATGAGCGCAACCGTCTGACCATCGGTAAAACTGAGCCCGGCGAGGTCCGTCAGAAGTACAGGGCGCGTCTCGAACAGGAAACCGCGGTAGAGCTGCAGCGCAAGGAACGATCCCAGCAGCGCCTGGATATGAAAACCCAGAAGGTCCAGCCCGAGAATTCCCGGTTCGAGTTCCGCTTCACAGATGTGGTTGTCAGCCGGGAAACCACAGGTCTCACTGGCCGGGGTCACATGGCTCCTGGTCGCCGCTATGGTGTTCCCAGCTATGATCGGAAGAAGGGCCAGGTCAAGATCCCCACTCGTGTGCAGGTCTAAACCCCTTCCCGATCCCTCTCTCTCTTTCTCTTTTCTACTTTTTTCGTGAGGTTCTCCTCACCTCAGTGAGGTCTTCGAGAACGAGCCTTGCATGGATGTTATCGGTATGCCAATGATGGGTTTGGGTTGCTTTCCCCCTGCTGAACTGTATTATACGGGCGTGTAATTCCTCTATTTTTGTGGTCCTTCTAGCTTTGTTTATGTGTGTGCCGGTTCTTTTCTTTTTCTCCGCCCCAGGATGGGATGGATCTATTTCAACAGATTCCCTTGAGCCGGAGTATTGTATTTATACACCCTTTTTCAGATCCTCTGGTCAACATTTATTATCAACCAGTGCAGAGGATTTTCTATCCCAGGTTCTCATGCCGAAGATACAAACAATCAATCATCATATCAACATGACTATCATGATCCTTCCTTTCTATCGTTTTCTTCGTAGAGAATGAACGCTAACTGTCTATGAAGCCGTATTCGTCTCGGATTGAGCTACACAAAAAAGGGGAGAGGAGCTACTTCACCCGAGACAAATCCAATTTTCCCCTCACTCCTCAAACCCATACACAAACTCAACACGGAAAACCGGACACGATTCAAGAATTATATGCAGGTTATATATTTGTGTATATATATGACAATTGTACTGTACTGTGTGTGTAGTTATATCGCACCCTAGCGGGTGGACGAAGGAAAATGGCTCTTGGGGGAGGGAGTGGGGGTGGGTTAAAAAAAACCTGCAAGCAGAGAGATATAGATTTCCACAAGAATGAAAAAAAGAAAGCCATTCTCCATTCGTGTGCGTGAGAATAGTCGTTCGTCCCTGGCGCTTGTATCATCAGAATTAATTGTGGATTCTGACGGTGCAATATGCATTAGAACGGACTGTTCTCTGGGAGAGAGGCTTCAAGGTTCCAAGACACGAAAAAAGAAAGAACGAAAGGGGACGCCCAGGTCCGGACATACATGAGAATAGGAGACCAAGAAAAGGAAATTGAGATAACTGGAGGAGCATGATACTGATTAAGCAAGCAGGCCAAGACTAGAAAATGGAAAAGAACATCGAGCTGAGCAATAAAGGGCTATGCTGGGTATCCATTGCAAGAGACACACAAAGTCGCGGAGTAACTAACAGGCCGCCGAATTGGGGGTTGACTGCGGGGGGCAAGACAACAAAGATAGCAGGCAGCAGGTTGCAGTGTATCGAAAGAGAAAACACCATGTACACACTATCTGGTTGCGCCAGGGACTGAGGGAAGACAAAGGGGTTAAGGTGAGTGGGTAGTTGTGTTTGTTTGGAAAGATGCTGCGGGAAATGGAGGAGCGCTTTTATGACGATATGACGAAGACTTAGAGTGCGTCTGCATCGGCTGGGATTCCTGGGACTGGGACAGATGTCACCGGGCTGCTTGGCGAATCCAGTCCCTCTCCACTCCCACTTCCAGAAGAATCTTCGGGGGTCACATCAATGGGTTTAGGCAGATGGAGGGCCTTGCGCTCCTTCTTGCCATTTTGACTGGGCATCGACGACGGTGAGGGAGTGATACTCGGGGACGGTTTCTTCGACGCGGTCTCGGTTCCGGTCTGCATGGGGCTTGTATGGCCTTCACCCGGTGGAAAGTAGTAGGTATCATTGGCGTAGCCACGCCACTTGCGCCAGCCCTCGAAGTCGATCAGAGCTTGCATGCATCCCCATTCCGTAACCTTCTGCTGCAACCACTCGAATCGCACAGGCTGTGAAAAGATCGCTGTTAGTGAAGGGTTTAGTCATACGAAGTCAGACAACATACCTTGGTCAAGAAATCATTGCAGCCAGCCGCCAGGGCTTCATGACGATCACTCTGCAAGCTGCTCGCCGTCAATGCCACAATAATGACCGGGCTTTTGAAAAGAGACAAGTCATGTAACGTGTCTTCTTCATTCAAGGGATCACTGTTGCCTGCAACGGCTGGCGGGGAGGTCACACTGGCCGTGGCCGCACTAGCCCGTCCATCGGCGGTTTTGGGGAACACGCCGATGCCGTTCAGCCGCTCTAGTCGCCGAATCTCCTTCGTTGCATCCAATCCATTCATGACGGGCAATTGAATATCCATCAATACCAAGTGGAAACCGCCCTGTCGCCATTTCTTCACGGCCTCTGCGCCGTTTGCAGCGCACTTCCAACGCACACTCAGACGCTTCATGAACGCCTCCAAGAGCCTTTGATTGATGTTATTGTCCTCAACGATCAGCACGTTGATCGGTGGCACTGTGCCCTCAATGAGACCACCAAAGGCTCCACTCAATGACTGTGTCACACTCGGTTTCTTCGGCTTGGTGGACGACGCAGACGGACGGGGCCGCGGAGAAGCTCCACGTGCAGGAGGTGTAAGCGACTTGGCCTGAGGCGACTCCGGGGGAGGACCGGGCGGAGTGGGAATGGAAGGCACCGGCTGGGACGATAGCGGTCCTGGGACACCGTTGGGGTCTAGCAGAAAAATAAGCGGGTCTGTCGTGGGAAAGAGGCAAAGCCTAAGATGGTGATGATTTCAAGAAAACACAAACCTTTCGGGGCCGTCACCTGGCCTAGCATCGTAGGAGAATTTGTAGTATGGCGAGTGAGTGGCGGTCGACGCGGGTGTCGACTCCCGCGACTGCCCGGCGAAGGCAGTGGCGGGGCCATACCTGTGGTGAGGATTGATATTGACGGGGCGGGATGGGCGTTGACACTGGCAGAGGAGTTGTTTGGGTGTGATGGCGGTGTGGGAACAGTGGGATTTGCTGGCATGAGAGGGAAGTAGTCGCCATGCTCGCCTGGCTCGGACTGGTTATAGTAGGCTTGAGGGCGCGGGGACGGTTTGGGTGTGCGTCGCTGAGGAATGTCGATAATAAGAGCCTCCTCAATGACTTGTCCTCCGGGATAGTAGGTATCCACCACGTTCATCAATGACTCCTCTGGGCTCAGGATCCGATCGGGTGTTGTTTGTCGATTGGAGCCCTCTCGTGGTGAGATCCGGACGACGATATCGGGCGCATCGAAAGTCTTGCCCAGAGAATTGGCATACTTGTTGATCACCTGGTCTCGCAGCTCGTCCACCACGAAGTCATCCGTGATGGGGACCAGAGTGGCCGACCCACCTGGCCGTTTGACCCAGATCTTGCGGGCCATACCTGTGCCGTACGTATTGAAGCGACCGTTGTCAAATCCGTCTGGTTCGCCCGTGGGCCCAGGATCCAGCAAGCTGTTAATCAGGTGTTGGTGCGACGGCGCAAGCAATGACTGACGGCGGGAACCAAGACTTGGGCGCTTTGGGAACGGTGCGGGTGTGGTTGAAGTCACTACCTGGTAGGTTGTGGATTCTCCGGGTGGATTTTCCGCAACTGCATCTAAGACGGGTAATTGGGGTTCAACAACCGCAGACCCCAGGCGTTCTAGGCCCAGACTGTTGAAAGAAAGCTGGAAAGACGGGGCGTTGGCGCGACCGGCACTTGGAGGGGAAGGGGTTGGTGTCGGCGAGGGTAGGCGATCGGGAGCGAGACTCGTTTCTGGTGGGGGGTGACCGTGCTCAGAACACAGGCTCGAGTTGGGACGTTTGCTGGATGATGAGGTGCGAGCGACAGGCTTGCGCTGCAGCGGGAGTCGGGGTGCACTGGAGGATGCAGCGCCCGTTTGCTGAATGGCCGACGGTCGATTCTCGTCGCGCTGCTCTTCGACCGTATCTTCTGGTCCGGGCTTTGCGGATGGAGTGTCGTCGAGAGGACCGTCGAGTTGTCCTCGGCTGGAAGTCGGGACCGGTGAGCGGGAAATGTCGCCCACAGCGGCAGAAGCTAAGGAATCACCGTGCTCCGAAGCGACCGGGTGGCTGGGAGGACGGCCGTCGTCGGGAGAAGGTCGAGACAGAGTCTGGCAGGAGTGTGCGCGGCGGGCTGTCTGGTGATCGGCGGACGGAGAAACGTTAGCCGATGGGTCCTGCAGCTGTCCGTTGCGGTTGACAGGATTGACGTGGTTGTCTCGATGGGGAAAATCGGAAGGAAGAGACGATGGGGTCGGAGGATAACCGCTGCCGTGGTTGTGATCGTGGTCGTGGTCGTGGTCGAGGTCGAGGTCGAGGTCGAGGTCGGGGTTGTGGGAATGAGGGGGAGGGGGATCGTGGTGGGAGAAGCTGGAGCTGAAGTTGCAATCGTCGCTGGACCCAGCAGATCCATCGGTGGTGGTGGCGGCGGCCGGAACGGAGGATGTCGACGATCGCCGCCAGAGCTTCGCCTTCAGTCGAAGCCACCGACGGTCAGGCATGACGCGTTGGAGCAATAGCTGCAGGGAGTTGTAAAGGAGTGACAAGACATGGGATGGTAAAGAAGAAATTTTGAAGATTTCTTCTAATTGACTCCGTAGAAGGCGTAGAAGGTGCCCGACGCCGTTAGAGAGCCAGGGCCAGGCACAACAATTCTTCGGCCGGGAAGGAAAAGGAAAAGGAAATTTAAGAATAGACAAGGAAGCAACCAGAAGAAAGACCAGCTCCGATAAAAGATCGAATATCTGAAACACCCACGCTAGAGCCCAGGAAAAAAGCAAATAAAAGAATGAATGTAAAGCTGATGTGGTTGAATGAAAGAACAGACCCTGAAAGGTCACCGCGTCCCCTGCCGGCTCAGCTGGCATACAAGCATCAATGAGGGCGAGGAGTAGAAGGGCACAGAAGTGAAGCCACTCGTCATGACTTAAGGGCAGAAGAGGAATGAAACAGAAAGATGATTAGAGGACGAGAAAGAAAGAAATAGGAGGGAGTAGCAGAAGCTCAGGGCTCTTTCGTGTTAGTCTCTTGCCCGCCAATGGCCAGTCAATGAGGCACGACAGACTGTCGCTCTAGTCGATTACCGGATTAGCCTGCGATCTCTGCTGGCGAGAAAGTGAAGAAGGATAAGCAAAAGTGGCACGATGAAGGATGTGGCAAACAGAATAACAGCCTCGAGAATCACACATTAAATGCTTAAAACATTGAGAGGCTGTGCCTTTAGAAATGTCATGTTTGTAGTTGTCGTGTTTGGAGAGAGGGGGAAGCGGAGGGGGAGGGGAGGAGGGGAAGAAGAAGAAGGAAAGTGAAGCAAATGTAACTGTCAAGATCCAATGTCAAGATGTCATGGTTAGGGGATATATAACCTACCAGTCAATTTAAAATAGATTATTATGACGGTTGCAGGAACAATCGGATCGAGGGAAATAATGTTATTTAAAAAAAAAAAAAAGAAAGAAAAAAAAAACAATTTCCTACCACGCTTGGGCCCGACAGAGCGCCGGGCTTCGAACGGTTTAATAAGGATGTGAGAATGAGGGAGTGACCCTCGGTTTCATGCACGCTTTGTTGGCATTGCCTTCCAATTCATCGATCGGTCGGTCAATACATTTACATGCATGGACTTGCAGCCAGACGGCTGCATCGCTATCTGTCTCACCGGCCGAAACTCTCGATCGTTCATCCGAGCCTTCTGCTTCTACCCCGAAAGCAGTCGCAGAACTACTTTTCTACTGGCCCATATATAGGTTCTTTCTTGTTTCCTAAATGGAAGGTGCATTGCCAAATAACATGAGAGGGCCCAGACATTCAACTATACTTAAGTCCCTCCCCAAAACAACCATATATCCTTTTCTTTCCAAAAATCCAAGTGGAGAACACCACTCACAATATATACTTCATGGACCCCTTATCAAGGGACCACATCTCCCATACTCTCACTCTCTCGACTCTCCGACGAGCCAGCAACAGGACCTTTCAGATTCTCCGGATCAGAAGCAGCACCCAAGCACCGAGACCGTTCCTCAAGCACCTCATCAATGCTCTTGCCCGTGGCCTTCGCCTCCCTCCGCACAGCGCGATATCGAATCCGCCAGACAATGTGGCTCGCATAAATCCCTCCTTCCAGGACGACGCTGTTCATCCACCCATCAAAGTTAGCATCAGTAGGCATTCCCAACATCCCAAAGCCAGGAGTGTGGCCAAATTCCCCCAAACTTACACAACAATGTACATGATCCCTCCCAGAATATCGAAGGAACCCTGCGCCGCTGCCTGCGATTAGCATCATATCGAACAGTCATGCTTAAACTAAATCGCGCGCGCTTCCCGACGGAAGGAAAGGCTTACCCAATGCAAAGAGGGAAAACAGCCCTCCAAAGGTGTCGATAGATAGGAAGACCCAATCTAGAATGGGGTTAGACATATCTGGACCCCCAAAGTACGTGCTAAAAACTCACTGAATCCGACCACCCGGCCATCTCGCTTCCAGAGCTCGAAATACGGCGGGACGAGCCCCAGTCCTAACAAGATGGCGGCCACGATGCCGACGATCAGGTCGGGCCAGGTGACTCCCTTGTCGTACGGTATCTGTGGTGGAATCAATTAGCGCAAGCTGTCAGTTGTTGTCAAGACAATGCGGGTCCACGTGCTCTGAGCGTGAGGATCAAAAGGGCCTCGATCCCACCAAACAGGACCGCAGCGCCGACAACCACAGCCGTCACTGCGCGGCGACTGTACCGGCTGCAATACCAGGCCAGTTAGATGAATTGCTTGATCGATAGGAGAATACCCGGAGCGCTTACTGGCCGTAATACAGAACCTGACCCCAGCTCACAAGAGAGAAGAACCCGAATATCTGGGGCTGGATCTGTAGCGGTATATTCACTCCCTGCAGTATCATATATGCTCCCATGGGGACCGCACCTGCGCCGATGCCATTAGCCATTTGTCTAGAACACGACGAGAGAAACGGCCATGGACAAGCTCTAACGTACAAGCAGCCCAGAGAAACATCATCAAGGGTGGAAGTCCATCGGTCTTCTTCTGTTTCCAATTATACCAGATCTGCGGAATCAGTTGAATGCACCAGAGCACCGTCCCGATGGTGCCCAGGACGTTGGAGGCCACCGTGACATTGCCGTCTCCAGCCATCGAGATGCGCGGATGCACTACGACCGCCAACGTGGGAGTATAGAAGACTTTTCAGGGGACTCGAAGTATAATCACAGCAGTTGGATCAGCAAAAAGAGTAGGATGGATAGCGTTTTAAAAGCAAGATAATCCTCTACAGACAGCTTTCATAACCTTAAGCCAAGCACATAATGGTCGTCATAAATTTTCTTTTCTCCAGAAATGCCCCACTACCTTCCAGAACTTTAGAGATAGCTGACGATCCTCAACAGTCAGAGTCATGGTCAAAGGGTCAAGATAAGGTCGGACCCTGAGGATGGAGAGTTGCCATCACCCACTGGTTCGGGGAACGAAGCCTGTCATTGGAAAAGCGGGCGATGGAGCAGCAGCGGAACTAAGACCGAAATGGTCAATGAGATGAGAAATTCCCGCCAGCATAAGTTAGTCGGATCAACTTCCATGCAGAACACATAATCAACCAGCTCCCAAACAAGGTTGACCCCAAGCATAAATCGAGAGGAATTCCCGTCAACACGACAGCTTTCTATGAGATCCAAGCAGCGCTGGTGGTTGATTCAACCATCGAACTGGTAGAGAACTTGACGCTCTCAGTTGAGAATCAGGGCCTATGCGGTGGTTAGAATACTATTCAGTCCGATCCAGTTCGCATGACCCAAAGAATCAATAGGACAAGCACAACCTGCAAGACCGCCAGAGCCGGTGACGAATACCACTGATACATCAACAAGAGAATAATTGCCAGCCATGCGCCTGCCTGCCCCAAGGCGACATGCTAAAGAAAAAGCTGATTGAGAATATACAATCTGAAAGTTCATTGAAATGTATAAGAAACAGAGCACTGTCTTGAGAACAATATTTACGCCCACTGATACGAGCAAGGAAATACACCAGCATAGTGCCATTTGACAGGCGGTCTGGGGCACTATATGCTCGCTTCAACTTATGAGAATCACATACATATAAAACAGGGAATGAGATGTGTCTTAAAAAATGTCCAAACAACAGCAGGTAACCAAGAAAGAAAAAAAAAAAAAAAACCATCAAGACATGAACATTCGCAAACCGGATTCGCGCCGAGTGATACAACTCGAAGGGTATCAAAACAAAAAGATCTCTTTTTCTTCTCGCGATGGGCCAAGAAGGCGAGAATCAGACCAGGAAAGAGCAGAAAGAAAGGACGTTACACCGTGACGGACCCCATGCCGAGCTAACACGATCATATAGTCGACTGATCACACAGATGGATCACAGCAAGATCAAATAGTTGGATGGAGCAATACCGGTGTCTCCACTGGCTTTTCTAGCCTGCCACCATCTTCCGCTGACGTCAGATACCTCTAGAATTTCGTGCTTGGTGAAGCTGATCTCATTGGCATCCTCCGGGTTGGCCTCATACGAGTAAATAGCCTTCGCGCGATACGGATACTCGGTCGGTTGCGGAACTTCATCGGGAGGCACACCACTGCCGGGCGGGGCAAGATTCGTTGCTGACGGGTTGCCGAAGCGGGGCTGCGAGGTGCGATGTTCCGACCCGGGGGCTCCACCATGATAGCCCGAGACAGGCGACGAGGTTTCGAAGCCATTGAGCTGAGCAGAAGTGTACATCTGAGGTGGCTGGCTCGAGGTCGTTTCGGGCCGATTTCCGAATGCGGTGGACATAGGTCTGCTGTTGCCGTACGAACCAGCGCCTTCCTTCTGAAGGGCGAATGAATCGATAAAACCACGGTGAGAAGCCTGTGGGCTCGATCCGAAATAGAAAATCCAGATGATCTATGGCCATCGTCAGTAAATGATCGGTCGAGGAGATTACCAGAAGGACGTGGGAAAAGAATGACGCACGATCACCATGGACAGAAGAATGAAGCCTGCACCCGCGGCTTGCGAAGCTGCATTACTCGAATAAACAAGCGAGTTTACCGAAATTGTGGAAAAGACGAGACCAGCGGACAAGTAGCCCACGATCTAGAAGCCATCAGCCTGAGAGAATTCCATAAACAGCGACCAGAGTGGCATACCGCGATATTATAGACCACGCCTGTATCCGTCCCAAACACGAGAGCCATCCCGACAATGATGCAAAACCCATATGCCAAGGCCCACCATGAGTAGGTGGGATAGCCCCCATGTATTCCAGTGATTATCGATGAAATGAATGCGATCAACCATGCTAACTAAGCAATTGAACTCAATTAGCCGGTGTCCACGGAAGAGTGGTCTCACGGGGCTGGAATACGTACGACGGAGATGGACGTAGTGGCAAGCGCGAACGGGTCGCCAAGAATATTGCTGGCTCTGAAGCGCACCATCTTGCGAGCGGGCTCTGGATATAGGTGTGGTTTGTGAAGCGATGGTGAGTGGGAAGAGTATGCCACCATGAATGTGGTTCCGAGTCGCAATGAATTTATATGGCGGTCGTCGGAACGATGATTTGTTGTTCACCAGGCGATGCGATGTGGCTTATGACCTCACGCTCATTGGCGGTATGCGGAGCAGCGACGGCAGGTCCCCTTTGCTTTGATTCGTGACGTGAAAGAGAAAGTGGAATGCGAACACGCGAAATGACGATCGTAGATTACGGCAATGAGAGCGCGGATATAGGGATGGGACTATAGCGCAGTCAGTCAGCTTAGAGGGCGAACGTGAGCGTCGAGAGAATCATGCAAGCCAATCGATCGGCAACGGTCGCAGGACATGTTGAGGTACGACAATAACACGAACCATCCCAAGCCAAGTCATGCAGAAAGGAAAAACGAGCAGCCGACATGAGGGTAGGTAGGAGAGTTTTAAAAAAAGATTAAAGGCAAATCACAATTTAACGAGTGCCCGGCAGGGGTGATGCATCACATACTTCTGAGACAGACCAAGTGAAATGAGGGTCGAACGATGCGGCTGGCGATCAGGATAGGGAGGCAATTGACACGGACAGTCTTGAAACAGGCGGAGTATTGATCCAGAGAGCGACGTGAGGAAGGGTCCTCTGAGGAGGCTGGGGTCAATGAGTCGTGGGAAGAAGTCCAACGAGGAACACCCCTTGCAGAGGATGAACGAGAAAGAGCAGCACCAGGCTGTAGAAGAAAAGGATAAGTATGAAACGTTAGTGTCCGAACAAGATGAACGGACAGGAAAGATAGACAGAGAAAAGACGAAAGAAAGAGAAGAGAGATTGGAATGAGGGGCACTGAGGTTCAAACGAATGAATGTGTTGAAGGGAGAAAGAAGGAGGGGGAGGGGAATCCAAAGAAGAGAGAAGAGAAGCGGGAGGAGAAGATGAGAAAGAGAGAAGAGATAGAACCAGCTTGAAGCCCGGGGGACCTGGAGCCGTGGAGAGAAAGAAGGAGAGCTAAAGGTGGAAAGTTTAGTTCAGTTGCCCAGTTGGTCAGTTAGCCGTTGTTAGTCGACTGATTCCCAAGTTTGGTGATGGAGACTTCGATGGAGACCTGAAAAGAAAAGGAGAGGGACGGACCCAGAGAGACAAATGGAGGTGCAGATAGAGAGAGTACTCGTGATGGGGACGGTGATCTAACAGCGACACAGACAGACAGGACAGAGACAGAGACAGAGACAGATAGACAGACCAGACTCCAGGCGCAGGCTGCGTGTTAAACAAATCGATTCTGGAATAGTCCCATTAGTACATCTGTTAGTTGTTGTTGTACCTGACGGAACTTCCTGAAGGGACGGATGGATGCCATGGGGAGGGGCGGCTTTGACTGCTGGAGCGGGAGGGAAACGGCCAATGACTGACAGGAATCCGTCTGACTGGCCCCGTTTCATCACCACCTCAGGCATTCAACCACCAGACTCAGGCTTCTCCCGGCTCCACGCGAACCGTGAACCGCAAAGGACAAGAGAAGAAAATATGAGTAAGACAGACACACAGACTGCATACGGATAGACTGCAGCCCATTTTGGCCCCTCTGCAAGAACGGTTAGTGTGCGTGTGTGTCTCTTCGAAGCCCGTGACTCGTGCACTCGATTTATTGCTACTATTCTTATGCCTACGTACCACTATCCAGTCTCCAGTATCCACAGTCTGACTGCTAGGCTAGTTCACATGGCTTCATTGTTGACGAAACAATCATAGTCAGCAACCCATCCATCCATCCAGTTATCTAGCCAGAACCTGTCCAAGATCCGGTACCAGCCCGATCCTATGGTCCATGGTACAATCAAATCTTTTCCTCCCCTTTCCAAATCCAAATCAAATCAAAATAATATCCGATCCATAATTACACGTAATAATAAGCGGAGAGAAAATCCAAAAGTCGACTGCGAATCGAGGCCTGTCAAAAGAGAGGGGAATCCTGTCAGAAAATGAGAAAGGGCTCCGTAATTGCCCACGCTTCTCAAACGAAGATCGATGCACATTCCTATGAAAAATGGGTCCCTCTAATTCCACTTTGGGGGGGGGGAGAAAAGGCCCCGGCACGACGCACGCGACGCCCATGATTTTCTTTTTCTCTTTTCCTTTTTTTGTCTTTTATTTTTTCTCTTTGCCCCTCTCACGGTCTCACACCTTTCTTTTTTAGACTAACGTAGCCACGCGAGTGGATTCAGTCGCAAGGTACGGACTCACGGCAGACGTCTGGCCCCTTTGAGGCTGAGGTTCAACCTGTGGCTTGATAACCAGCACCAGCACATGAAACACGCATGCTCTCTAGGGCTGGCTCTCTTCAGTGGGAAATTTCCAGATTTCGGCTCGACTGGAACTTGGGTGTACCGCTATCCCCATCAGTCATAATTTTAAGATGAGAATGGAAGGAGCAAAGTTTGATTACTCTCTTCTTGCCTTTTGCTCGCACTCTTTGCATTCAAGCTACAGCAGTACATTAGTCATGATTGCACTTCTGGCCCGCCTGGTTTCAATTCCAACCTAGTTTGTTTATCGGGGTTTACCCTCAGCTTATCAGTTGTTGCATTCTGAAGACGCCGACATATGCATCCTACTATGTGTGAAGACAACAGCTACAGAACATCATTAAGCCAAATGCCCGTATCCG